AAAGTAATCGGGGATTAAATTAACTGGATTAAAAGGAAAACTTCTCAAGACGGAAAAAGTTGCGTCGGCTGTTTTCATACTACTACAAAGTAAACAAAAATGTGAAGTGGAAATAATAAAATATTTACTTCGACGTAATTATCTTTTTATTTGCCTATTGCCTGCAACGACGGAGGAGTATGAAATACTGTAATTTAGTGTGAACATTAAAAAGTCCAATTTTAAACCTTTAACTCGCCGAAAATTTACAATGAAACATGCTCTATCAAAAACTAAAATTGCGGCCAGGATTCATAATTAAAAGATATGAGTTTGACAATGGCTTTAAAAATACGTTGAAGCAAAAAGTTCCACCGAAGAACTTCAATCTTTATTGGCTATGTAACAATGATATATAAAATTCCAAAATTATACAAATATGACAGTTGTGTGATAATGAGCGGATGGAAAATTAGCGAAGCAAAGCGTAAATGCCAGGATTGTCTACCACTGAGCTACAGAGAGAATCCTACCAGATAGACAAATTAACTAGGTGCCTTTGTGACACCTTCGCTCATGCATGAACTACTAGGATCAGTTGTTATTGGCTAATGTTTTCGATATTCAGGTTTTTCATTTAAGTAACTATTTATTTTTAAGTTTCATCAGGCTATTCGTATCTCAAGGGTTTCAACTTGCCTGAAGAGGGTTCAATACAAAATAACAGGAGAGTAAAATTCCTTATCAACTTTGAATATTCTTTACACAGCAACGGAATGTAAAACAAATAGCATTAACACGCTCTGAAATCCACATTGTTAGTTTTTCATATACACGATTACATAATTGAAGTCACTGGTGCTTGTGAATATTGTGGTACAATTTAATGAGGTTGTAGTGCATATTAACAGCAATTCCAAGTCCGAAAGTGTGAAATGCATGTTCTGAAAGTGAAGGTAATTAAATATGTGTTTTATTTGAAATCGCATTCTGATGATTGCTCTGTTATCTCCACAAATAGTCTAACAGGAAGCCAAGGAGCGAAGGAAAGATCGATTAAATGTCCCATCCATACCTACAACTTGGAAAATACTATTTTCCAAGTTATAAATGAAAAAGTTTCTAAAGCAGGCTCTCGCCATTGCTTAGTTGCGTAGATGCTAAATGCTTTTGGTACCATTTGCGGAAGAAGCCGTCACCCTTTAAAATAACTTATTTGGTTTGTAGCCAAACATGGTAAAAATTTGATAAAAAATATGTTGTCACTGACTTAAAAATTATTTGAGGACGTTTTGGTTGCTGCTGCAACTTTCATCGGCTACAAAGTTTCACATTTCACATTTCATTCTCAAACATATATAATGTACGTAATAATTACGCTATTGCTTTACTCTCGTTTTAAATTGAAAACCTCTTTCCGTATAGAACCTTCATTAACACATTTATTGTACATTTTTTCCTTTCTTTTTTTATTCATATCAGGCTGTTTACATTTTTTGGCTGAAAAAAGCCGAAACGTCCTCAATTTATTTTACGCCACTGACAACATATTTCTTATTAATTTTTTTCGTCATCCATTTTACGGAAAAGGTCGTCACCCTTTATTTTCATGGAACGTTTTCATTGGCCAATATCTTCTAAGTGGCCTAATATAAGTAGAAATTTCTGTCTTTCCAACCCTGAGACGGCTTAAATGTTCCACTCAAGATATGTTAAGTGTTTGTATTGTAAGTATATTTATTCAGCTTCAAGAGGCTTTGTTTAGGAGGTTTCCAAGATCAACAGGACATGACTTTCTGCTCGATATTTGAGGCAATTCTGAGTTTAAATTATGCTGCTTGGTTTTTTGTTGAATTAGCTGTTGCTGATACGAAATACAACATTTAACGCAACGATATCTGTCTTTCCAACAGGAAACTTAAAATCAAGATGAACAACAGCACCGATCCTACTGTGGTTTATTTCGAGGAAGAAAGTGACTCTAAACTACCCATAACCGCAGTGGTAACAGTTCTGTCGTTTCTGTCATTCGGCACTGTAATTGGCAACAGTCTCGTGTTCACGGCTATTCTCATTAACCCTGCACTTCACAGCGTCACCTATTTGTCGGTGTTTAGTTTGGCGATTGCAGACTTTTTGGCTGGAATAATCGCCATGCCAAGCTACATACTGAAAAAGTTCTCGTTGGGAGAATCCGCCGATGTCATCATCTGCGACGTCTTCCGTTTCTCCTACTTTCTCACCGGTTACGCCTCCATTCTGAGCTTGTCTGTCATTAGTGTCGAGCGCCTATTAGCAGTGAAGAGTCCACTAAGATATACCACCATAGTTACACATAAGCGAGTGATTATGGGTTTAACATTGGCGTGGCTCGACGCGATGATTATATCTTCACTTCCCTTCGTCCCATGGGATCCAAACTCTCCTTATAAGGAATGTAATTACGAGCCGACGCGATGGTGGAGTATCATGGTCATTATATCTAACGTTATTTTACCATTTCTACTCATCGCAACGTGCTATACCTACATGTATCTAACCGCCAGGTCACATGTTAAGAAAATATTAAGTAACAGAAACAGCGTAGAAAATGATAAAGCTCGAAAACCGCGGAGACAAAGTAACGAACGTCGAGCCAGCACCACAATACTGATTGTTATCGGGGTGTTCGTAACTTCTTGGTTTCCATCTTGTTTCTATTACTTCTTACAGAAAACGTGTCCGCAATGTTTTTCTGATTCATTCCGATCAAAGCAAAGCATCTTCAATGCCTTGGTCAAAATTCTGACTTTCACGTCGTCCTTTGCCAATCCTATAATATACTG